ACGTATCACGTCCTCTTAACTGAAAAACTGAATTTTTGAATCAATAAATACTCAATATGTTTCCATACTTATGTACCAATTAACATATTTTATACTTGTACTAGAGAACCTTTGTTCAAAATATTAATATTAAGCGGTTTAATGATTTAAAGTCATTAAAAACGTATCTTAAGTTTATGGAATTTTCAAAGATACCTAATATAATTATTATAAGACTGTTATATACAATTGTACAATTGTATTTAAGTAACAGATTGTTTTTTAAATTGTATTTTTTTGTATTCTTAAGGTGAGAGGAACTCGCTCCCCCAGCTCAAGCTTTGCTTTTAGGGGGTGCTGCATTATGTATCCTATGGTAGTTTATGTCAATCTTTTTTGTATTATTTATGTTGTTGTTGCAATATTGCAATAGAGTTCATAATTATTATTATTATTATTATTATTATTATTATTATTATGTTTCTGACTAGTTTTCGTATATAACTATCTAATGTAATTTTAATAGCAATTACTTTGAAAATATTTAGCAGTATAATAATTAATAATAATAATACTATATAGAATACAATCGAACAAAGTGGAAAAATTGAAAAAATCTGCTCAAAATGTACACACTGCATTTTTGCCATGTTTACTTTTGCATACTTATTAATTATTCAGGTGATAAACAAAATAAACAATAATTTATTTATTGAGTTTATAACGTATAGTGAATTACCGTTGCATGTATGAGTTTTACTGAATCAATAACTTATTATGACCCACACAGCATTTGTATAACATTAATATTATTATAACTTTACGATTTGGTTAAATTACAAATATTATAACTTTGACGTTATTATAATATTAACCAGAGTTTATAAGAGTAATATTATATTTTAAAAATGTCTTTTATATGCTTATTAAGTTTTATATAATAATATTGAAATTAATATCATAGAAAAATAGTATAATAACATTTAGTGCCTAACTTTATAAAAAGTTATATAAAAAATTGTATGTGTATGTTCTAAGTTGGTTGAGTTTGTAACATTTACTATCGCAATATATGGGTACTGTATTATTATATATTATATATATATATTATAATAGTACCTGTATATATATAATATATGATTAGTACCTATAGTATAATACCTAGTGCATAACATATAAGTTATATAATACTTATACCTAATACCTATCTATAGGTATACTATAAAGTAAAAAATACATTATGTAGTATGTATGTATATTTTACTTAGGTGGTTGTTAATTTAAAAATGATCCCTATGACTGATGTAGGTATATCTAGGTAATTAGTAATTTCTATAATAACCCTGCCATCTTGTAAAATGCTTGAATGAACAAATTTGGATTTTAGTATAAAATAAACTTTTATTGTTATTTAATATTGTTTTAAATATAGGTAGGTACTTTTATGTTAAGTACCTACCTATTCAATCATTTATTTAAAATATTTTTATTTTTATAAAATTTTGTTGTGTAGTGCATATAAATCGATTGTTATAAAATTTATAAATTTAATGTTGTTTAACTATATATCATCTTTCAGTCATCCAATGTTAAAATCTGCAAAATGAAGACGGAGATAAAAGGCCAGTTCTAGAAAAATAAATATGTTTCTTGTGGTCCTATTTTGTATTTTTTTTAAATTTATTATCGATTGTTAATTGTTATAATTTACAATATAATTTTATACTATATTCTTAACAATACTATTATATTCGTTGAATAATTGTTGAAGTCTACCGTTCGTGATGTTACTATGTTAGACGTAAGTATATAATATAATATGTAATATACCTACTTATTCTTATACTAGAACGATATTTTACCTACTATATATTACTCGTTTTTATATTTATAAATATGGTAAATAATTAAAAATATAATAATATGTGTACCACAATCATTTATCCAGCGATTTATACGATATACTTGGATCAGTCTTGCCATCACCTGACATATTTGCATTCCTCCAGGAGACCGGATTGGACAAACTTATTTAGCCTACTGAATACTCAACCTCATAATTAAGCTTATTTAATTTAGTCTAGACATTTGCTGTTATTAAAATTTTTCTATTTATCATGTAACACCTATTTGTAAAAAAAAATGTATCTTATCCCAATGGCCAAGTTGCCGAGGGTTATTTCTCTAATAAAAAAAAAAAAAAAAATAATATGTGTACCTACCTACAATTGATTTAACCAATGCCATTATGCATTAAAATTCCTAAGTGTTTAAGGAAGGTAGGTATTAAGCAATATGAACCATATGTACTTAAATACTTTGCATAAATGGCTTCTTTTTATCAATAGGACATATTCTGTATTTTTGTCATATTCAAAATAACCGCGCTTGGGATCATTAATTTGACCGCGTAACAGCCTGCTTGTTGGTCATCGAACGTTCTATATAGGCATCGGTATCAGTCCTACCAGCCCTCGGTGGCGACGACAAAGCTTGTAGACGGTTGACCGACCGAAGCGCCAAACGGCAAACTGTGCGAGACGCGCGTAAAGTGTAAAGTGAACAAAGAACTATTATAGTAGTCACTAGTCTTTAATAGTTTAATCTTTATGCCATATGCCCATATTGCCATTTGCGACTTGTTTTTCTTAAGCTACCTATGCTCTAGTTTTATTACCGTTTTCGTGCGTCGCAAATCGGAATTATTGAGTTCAAAGCCATCAAGTCGTGTGCAGTTTGTGGTAATTATTAACTTTTCAACTATAGGAATTATAATTACCAAGTAGGTACCTATTAGTTTTTTCGCTGTCATCGCCATTGTCTGAGAGTCTGACCAGTGTGTCGACTTGTGCTTGACATCCTTGGTCATCATCGATTTGTACATTCCACGTGTTCAAATAGTTCTACTCCACTATAATATTGTGAATTGTGTTTAATATATTATTATTATACACAATTCCTATAATTTTAGTATAATAATACAATAATATATAATGTATATTGTAGCGTCTTGGGATCATTTGGCTGTTTCGCTGTTTTGGTCGTTTAACGGATTAAAGTATTTTAGGAAGGTTAACCGTATAAAACGTAATAACTGTACATGTATCTACGTCTTATTGATGAGCATAATTTTTATTTTGAAAACAATCGATTTTATCACTTGATCTCGAAACGCTTAAGTTAAATCAATCATATAAAAATTATTTTGTTATTTACCTACCTACCTACTGGCTACTATATATTCTGTCAAGTCTTTAATACTACTCTAATATACATTTTACATTTTAAAACAGTATGATTTTATAGTTTATATGGATGTTATAAGTAGTAGGTACCTAGTGTTGTCTCTATCTTACACACGTATAGGTGCAACATAGAAAATGTCCGTTAACAAGAATTGATTGTGTTGTCATTAAAGTGAACAAACTTTATAACTAAATTGAAAGGTAAGGATATTATCTGTTCTTAAGCGTTAGATTGTTTTATATTTTTATTTTTAAGTGAGATAGGTAGGTACCGAAGCCTTTTTACTATGTGATATATTTACACATACTCATGTGTTACTTGAAAATTAAAATATAAAAAAACCGATGCTTGAGTATTGATAATGTTGTTACCTTTGAGTTTCAAAATAGATCAATTCACATCCAATATTACAACAAGCAATACACAATTGATTCTGATAAATTAACGTAGGTATTTTGATGATATTTTTTAATACACGTGTATAAGACAGACAAATGATGTAGCATTGTAGCATCATCTTAAAATAAATATCTATCTACATAAAACCATGTAGTTTCGGTCGGTATGTACCTATTTTATGAATCTAAATAAAGACAATTAATATACCTACTTAGGTAGGTACATATTACCTAAGTAATTACTAATTATTATAATGCATAGACTTTTTTATATTTATTTAAATTTAAATAAAATTAGGTAACTTACTTTATACTAGGTAGCTAATAAATAATATTTACTTGATTCTTAATACTACGTAGGTATAGGTACCTATAACTAATATTAGGTATGTAATTTGTACAACCTAAAGTTAAAAATTTCCTACAACCACAATCTGAAAGAAAGTAGGTACCAATGTAATAAAATATAAGAAAGGTACCTGACCTATCAACATGGGAACTAAATTTTCTGTATTTTTAATTGACTAATAATTATTTAGGTATTTTGATTGCCATGAATTATTTTAAAAAAAAACCAAGATATGTAATAAATAATAATGAATAGTTCAAAATAATATAACTAAATTACTTACCCACTCAATTGTTTCAATTAATTTTAATTTCAGTTAGTAATAAGTAGGGATGAGAACTTATAGGAGCTAAAATAGGTAGACAAAATATGCAAGGAAAAATTACGATTTATGCATCAAAAATTTGAAAATAGGCAAAAAATATATTATAATATGCAATTTTTTCTATAAATAAAAAAACATGTTTATAATAAATTAATTTAAATAATATTTCGTTAAATTTGATTCTGTTAAAATATAAATAATTTTTAACTGAGTGATAAAATTTAATACTAGGTATAAATATGAGGTGATAAATGATTGGTAGGTGTATTGATTATCAGGTGATTTAATCTAAAATAATAAAAATAAAATTTTATAATCTTGTAATATATTTAATAATTATTTTTTCATACCTGTAAATTTGTTGCTTTTATATACTATTAAATGTTATTGATTATTGACTAAAACCTTAGAAAATTCAATAAAATAATAAATAATTTTACTGAATATGCATTTTTATGCTCAAAAAAACATGAATATGCAACTTTTAAGAAAACTACCAATATATGCTACAATATGCAAAATTTAAACACCAAATTTTAATTCATTAGGTTATAGAACAGATTTTTAGTTCACTTGGCTATAAATAGGAGATATAGAAAAAAATGTGCAAATCCTATAACTTCTCATCCCTAGTAATAACTAATAACATAATATGAGTTTCTTTATTTAATTGTATTTAAAAATTCATTTTGTAGCTTATAAAATGATTCGAAGTGGACGTTCTAAACGCAGAAAAATTAGAAATGAACTAAATACACTTTGTACATTACATTCAAAGTTTTTAAACAAAGAAGATAATATTGTTGAACCAGCTGTATTGGATGAAAATGAAGATTTAACTCATCCTTTAATTCCCATTCAAGATAATAATATTGTCTTAAGTCAAGATGAATCTTGCTCCTTGTTTGAATTTGTTAATCAATCTCCACCGTCAGTTGAAGTTGGGGTTAATCCATTTAATTTAGAAGAATCCATCAACGATTCAGTATTAAATGAAACTACACCCTTTTCAAATTCAGTATCTAGTTCAAACTTTATTTCTATGGAAGATCAAATATGTCAATGGGCAATTCAATTTAATATTAAACATAATGCTGTCAATAGCTTGTTAAGTTGCTCGAAGAATCATAAGTGTTTTAAACATTTTCCGATCGACAGTAGAACACTATTTGGTACCCCAACTCAAAAATCAAAAGAAATCAGAACTGTACACCCTGGAATCTACTACCACTTTGGTTTGGAATTTGGAATTAAGAAATATGCACCAACAAATTCATGTTGTATCGAAATTGCTATAGGTATTGATGGGTTACCATTGTCCAAAAGTAGTGGGGCTCAATTCTGGCCTATTCTTGCATACATAATGAATATTCCAAAGAAAATGGTTTTTCTTGTTGGCTTATATTATGGAACTGAAAAACCTCATGATAGTAACGATTTTCTAATAGATTTTGTTCAAGATGCCAATAATCTTATAACTAATGGTATAATTTTAAACAATACTAATATTAAAGTTTCAATCAAATTATTTACATGTGACGCACCGGCTAAATCGTATGTGCTAAAAGTTAAAAGTCATGCAGGTTTTTCTTCATGTACTCGATGTACCATTGAAGGAGAGTATATTAATAATAGAGTTGCATTTCCTTATTCAGAAAACCATTCAACAAAAAGAACACATGAACACTATCTGCAAATGTATGACGAAGATTATCATATTTCAAACCAAATTTCCATTTTAACACAAATTGATGGATTTAATTCTGTTAATATGTTTAGCATTGATTATATGCATCTTGTGTGCCTTGGTGTTACTAAAAAGCTTATGATTCTTTGGTTTAGTAAAGGTCCCTTAAACGTCCGTGTAAGATCAAGAAAAACTCATGAGCTTTCATCAAATTTATTAAATTTAAATTCTTATATTACAACAGACTTTGCTAGAAAGTCTAGAAGTGTTTTTGAAATGCGCAGATGGAAAGCAACAGAGTTCCGTTTATTTCTACTATATACAGGGCCTATAGTCTTAAAAAATATAATAACTGATGAGTGCTATGCAAATTTTATGGCATTGAACATTGCCATGACAATACTTCTCAGCCCGAATAATAATCATCTTTTGAATTATGCAAGGGAATTACTTAATTTTTTTGTAAAAAGTTTTCAACAAATTTATGGTGTTCACAATATATCACATAACATCCATAATTTATTACATCTTGGTGATGATTATCAAAACTATGGGCCATTGGACAATTGTTCTGCTTTCTGTTTTGAAAATTATATGAAGGAACTTAAATTATTTTTGAGGAAAAGCGAAAAACCTCTTCAACAAGTTATAAACCGTTATTATGAAAAATATAATTCTAAACAAGGAAATGATAATTATATAGAGGTCCCATTTGATCAGCCAATATTAAGAAATGAACATACAAACGGTCCATTAATTAAAAACATATCTGGGTCTCAATATTATAAATTTTTATTTAAAAGCATATCATTAAGTTTAAAAAAAGAAAAAGACAGTTATTTTCTTACTACAAATAATGAAATTGTAAAATGTCTAAATATTGTACAAAATGACATAGGACATGTATTACTAATTGGAAAATATTTTAAAGAGTTAAATCTATTATTTGACGATCCTATAAATTCCTCAATATTAGACATATTTGAAATAAATAACATAATTAAAAGAATGAAGTATTGGTCAGTATCTCAAATAAAAAAAAAAATGATGGTATTCCTACAAAATACAAAATTGATTGCTATTCCCATCATACACACTGATCAGAATTAAAATTAAATTAAACTATTTATTTTATTGTGTGTATATATTTGTATTTATTTTTGTTATATTATGTAGATAGGTATTTCAATTTATATATGATTGATGATTGTATAATATATATTTTTATTGGCATTTACTAAACACTACAATTACAGATGTCTGGCTGGGATATTGTATTATTTAAAAATGATAATAGTGTAGAAGCTGTACCATCAAGTTGGTTACGCAAACATTCTTGTGCGTGGCCTAAAAATTCAAGAAATGCAAAAAAATATATAGAAAAACAAATAAAACCAAATCCTGACGATTTTATATTTTATCCAGCAAGAAAACTTGGAAATAAAACTTATAGTATGTTTTACCTATTTAATTAAATGTAGAATTATGTGTATTTTTCAGTAAAACAATTTGTATATTTTAAATTTTTTACAGTTTCTTTTCTTGAGGCTCGAAATAAATTAACTAAAGCTACATACAAGTCCGAATTTTCAAGTACTGAAGATGAAATGGTTAATATGAGGCATCGAAAGAAGATAAAATGTCCAAGTTTATCACCAAACGCAACCAAATATATAAAAACTGCCAAAGACCAATGTAAACCTCATCTAAGTGACAGTTGTCCACCTCGTTTTATCCCTGTTAAAGGTATTTTTATTTAATTAAAAATGTATACCCATGATCCATCAAAAATGTAAAATACAAAATGACTTATTACTTACCTATACATTTTACCTAGCTACCTTTAATTAATTATTAATTTTACTTTCAATCTTAATTTTTATATTGATAATATTATACTGGTTGTGATAGTTTCCCTTGTGAATTGTTTATTATTATTTGTATTATAATTTGAATATGTTAGGTATAATACACATTTTGCATTTTAATATCAATATAGTATTACTTGTCTAATTTTATAATATATACATTTGTTTTTACTTAGAAGTTTTTAACAACAAAGTTAAGGAAATGACAAGGATTTCTGATTCTAGTAGCGGTGACGATAATGATGATACTTCTAAAGATCCTACATGTAGTTTTAACAACAAAATGGATTTAAATGAGTTACAAAGTAATTTTTTATAGACCTAATATCAACGTAATATAATAATTGCATATTATACTTATTGTTATCCTTATATTTAATATTAGATGTTGATGAGTTAGAAAAATTGTTAGTTGATGATGAGTTAGAAGAATTGTTATCACTTTCTCCCACGTTTACTCCAGTTAAGAATCAATTGAAAACCAGTAACATTGATATAATAGATTCAGCCATCGGTAAATGGTCAGTTGAAAAATATGATGATATTTCTTCCAATAGTAATAAAAGTCACTGCAGTATGCTTGTAAAGAAACAACTGTTTATTGATAATACTAAAGGAAACAAGTCAGGTACTGAATATACAAATTCAATTTAAAATAGTTCTTAATGTTTAATTACTATTTTTTAAGTTTCTACTGTTGAAAATGTAAACCCGCCGAGTAATACAGGAGATAATCGCAGTATTTTCATGTCAACATCAGGTGATTTTTGAATTGTTTTACCAAAAAATGAGATGAACTAATTATTGTAATAGTATGTAAAAATTGATTAGTTAATATTTTTTCAGATTTTCAAACTTTTGTGATAAACACATTAACTCATATAAAATATGATATTAGTAGTTTAATTAATGTTAATCAAATAACTCAAGCAAATGTACAAGTTTTAATGGATAATATTCAAACAAAATCATTATCTAATCAAAATATATCTGCAGATGTTTTTGACATTGAATCATTTTTGCCAATAACAAATCATCACGAACTCTTAGCTATTGAAAATAAAATCCAAGACACTGATTTCAGAAGCTCGTTGGTATGTATAATAATATAATTCATCAGATACAATTTGTAACTAGAAAAAATAAATATTTTATTGTTATTTAGGTTAGTAAGTTGTCGTTATTAGTTGGTAATAAGGATTTGGGAAATAGTGTACGAAGAATAATGGCTAGAGTATTTGATGACCAAATTTTAGCTGAATTCTCATTGTATGGATTCAAGAAGAAATCACCATTTTCCAAATTGCTGATCTACCGTGTTATAATTGGTAAAAATATTTTATTTGTGACTGTTAAAACTTATAGTAGGATTTATGACTGAGTTTTTTGTTTTGGCTTCTCATTGGAATGATAATTTAATTTGTATCCTGATTTGTATAGAGGCATCGAGCTCTTATTACCAGGCCAAAGACAAACACAATAGCCAGACCAAATCCAAGAGAAGCAAACAAAGAATTCATATCTATGTAACCATATCATATCCTTATATTCATACTTTTAATATTAGTTGGTAGGAGGCAACTGCTTTCTCCAGGGAGGACCCCCACCCATTAGCTATAGACCTGTATATTAAATTGCAGCACAATTTAAATATAGTTGTTCATTTCAGATTCACTAAGAGCCCATATCAAGTACAAAATGATCACAGAGAAAGAAATTGATATTCCTCTTTCAACCTGGCTTTCCCATGCCCCATTTCGTATCAAAGATAAAACTAAAAAACAACGTGACTCTCAAACATCTCAAGCTTAATTTTGTTTAATTTGTATTGTTTATATTAAAACTTGTTTGTTTTTATAAAAAAAAACTACTGTTTCCAAACATCTCACAGAATTTTAATTTTTTCTATTATAATCTTGTTAATTTTTAATTTGTTTAAAAGTAATTTTTCCTTAAATAACCTAGAAAGTTTCTAGACATCTTAAACTTAATTTTATTTAATTTGTATTGTTTATATTACCAATAGGTGTAGGTATTACCTATAATTTTTAATTTGTTAAACATTTTTACTTGAATAAATAAAGGTTCATTGCATACTACTGTGTAAAATATTTTTTTAGCTAGTAATATTCATAATTTATTTATAATTTAATATCTTCAACTTTACTCTTTATAATTATAATTACTTATTTTATTTCCTAGATATTTAAGGGAATTACAATTACAGTTATTACATTTAAACTAAATACAAAAATCAAAGTAGAAATGTTTACACATTTCTTACTGTATAATTCATTAGTAAAGGTATCATATAATTATTATGTAAATACAATGATGTACAAACAGATAAGTAATAACTAATAAGTATGATATATGGAAAATAATTTCAGGGGTAAGTTCATGCGTGAACAATTTTAAAATTAATGTTTTCATAACCATATTGCAAAAACATGTTTGGGGGATGGTACTTGGTTCTTATGTTATTCTTAACTGTGTATAGATATAGTATTTACACCTACCTATAATATATATTATATATATTATGTATGTATAGAAAACATGTTTGCAAACAATAAAAGTAAATTAAAAAAAATATTCGATACTTTTTAATATAACATTTTACAAACATTGTATGCAATGTTATTAAACTAAATTAAAACAAACATTAAATCTGTGGCCAAATAATTGTAGGATAATGTTATATTAACATTATTTAATCCACGAATAACTTTATTCAAACGTTTTTTGGAACATTATGGTTTTTTACATAACTTTATTCTAACTTATTTGAAATATGAATTTGCTGTGTGGGGAACACAGCTTAATGCTTATTGTATTTTTTAAAACAAATTATATTTTGTTATTTCTTTCATATACAAAAAGGTGCTCTGTTGTACGGTAGGTTACAAGTGGGTCACCGTATAATGGCTGGTATTAAATTTGAATTCAATGATATAATATCATTGTATAAGAAAAATGATTTTTTTTATGTAATTTCATCCAAATTTGAACTTAAAATGACTAGGTATAAAAATAAACTGTGCTTATGTATTTTTTAGACTTTTTGGTAAAAAAATAAACTACTTAAGTAGAATCTTGTTTTAAATTTTCAGTCCTTCGATATAAAAGTTGATCATTTTATAAATTTTTAACTACAAAATAATTATTCAATTTTAAATTTGATAAATTTTGTCAAAATTCGATCTTTAAATGTTTATAAAAAAAAATTGTGCATATGTATTTTAAATATTTTTCAACTGATATTGTAACAATATATTAGGAGCCTTGTATTGAATTTTTATACTTTTTGGCCCAACAGATAAAACTTAATTGATATTTATAGAAAAAAAAACTAAAAAAATTGAAAACGGAAAATGTCCGTAAACAGCTCAAAAAGAATCAAAGTATTTTCAAAATTGTATGGTGTATATAAAATGCTAATTTAAACATTCAGTGAAATTTTCAAGTATCAACAGTCATTTGTTTTCTAATTACAACAAAATAAGGAAATCGCTAGGTACATTAGAAATCGAGTGAATCTAAAATGTTGTAAAAATTTAATTCGACTGTCTTATAGACATTTTTTTTTTTGAAAAAGGTAAATAATCTTATAAGGAATCTTGTATTATATTTTAAAACCTCAGATTTAAAAAGAAAAATTTTTATGAATTCTTAACTCTAAATAATTTGCTAATTTTCGTAATTTTTCCATATTTTGTCAATTTTTGAACTTTAAAAGTTTATAAAAAAAAACTGTAACTAAGGATTTTTAATATTTTTCATCTGCCTTTGAAACAATATAGCAGGAGCCTTGTTTAAATTTTCAAGTATTTTTACTCAACAAATAAATTTTTATTGATATTCATAAAAAAAAAAAATCTAATAAAATTGGAAACTGAAAATATCCCTAAACAGTTCAAAATAAACCAAAATATTTTGAAAATGTTATCGTGTATAGAAAATGTAAATATACACAACCAGTGAAAATTTCATTTATCTACGATAATTTGTTTTAAAGTTACACAAAAAACCAAATTCGATTTTTCTTAAAATTTCCCGTTTTTCCTTAAGTTTTCTTTTGTTTTTCACGGCGCTTTTGAAATCTACTGGGAAATTTTTACTTTTGACCCCCCAAAGTACCAAATAGATTCACTTTCCTATCAGAAAAATACTTGAGAATTCCCAAGTACTCACTAATAATATTTTAAAATTACACCAAAATAAATAAAATCGTAATTCATA